TCTCTCTCTCTCTCTCTCTCTCTCTCTCTCTCTCTCTCTCTCTCTCTCTCTCTCTCTCTGTGTTTCTCTCTCTCTCTCACACACACACGCGCGCGCACACACACACATGGGATAAAAAAGATAAAAAACGTGTGTGTGTGTGGGGGGGGAGAGGGGGTCACGAACCTCGGGTGCTTTCAGGCGGCGAGGGGAGGGGGAAACAGTTGCAACGACAGTTCACAGGAAGGAGTTCACTCAACAGATTGATTGATTGATTGATTGGTCGGGCGTCTCGTTGGTTGGTTGGTTGATCGGCCAATCGATCAATCAATCAATCAACCAATTAATCAATCAATACAATTATTCTCCTGGACCCCCCAGAGGGTCAGAAAGATTCGATGGTCGAACCTTGCTGCTCTAAAAAACCAAAAAAAAAAACGGGGGGGGGGGGGGGGGGGGGGAACGAGATCGTAGACAATCCACGGGAAATGCAAACGGCACATACCGACAAAATGCAACTGACACATGCCAACAAAATGCAAACGACTTTTCCGCATTCAAACAAAAGGACAGACAAAAGAGGGAGAGAGAGGAGAGAAATAGCGAGAGAGAAAAGAGAGAAATGAACAAGAGACGAGGTGGAAAGTTGAGGGAGACAGAGGAGAGAGAGAGGAGAGAGAGAGACGAGCAAGAGGGAGATGAAGACGAGTAGTGGCAGGAGACGCAGGAGGGGTACAGATGTCGAGTATTAGGACTGGTGAAAAAGACGAGTAAGAAACAAAGCAAAAAAAAAAAAAAAAAAAAAGTTGAAACAGCGCGCCATGTGGCATGTGGAGGCGCCCCTCGCTCCGATCCATTACTAAATGCATGTCCGATCCGAGAATCGAACACACACTCAACGTCTTGTCAGCAGACACCTAACCAATAGGCTAAGTGGGCTGGGGTAAAAGTGGAGCCCATGTGTCGGGATCTGGTGGTCTTGACAGTTTGCCGCTGGGAGGAGGGGTCAATGATACAAAAAAAAACAAAAACAAAAAAAAAAACGCTTTGAGTAGTTTGTTGCACCTTATCAGGTAGATTAATCAGAGGATGGAGAAGTCGTAACAAGGTCTCCGTAGGTGAACCAGAGGAGGGGTCAATGATACCAAAAAAAAAAAAAAAAAAAAAAAAAAAAAAAGCACACCATGACAATAGCGCCACATGGGGCCGCGGGGGGGGATGGGGCTGTCTCTTATACACATCTAGATGTGTATAAGAGACAGCTCCCCTCCCCTCCCATCCCCTCCCATCCCATCCCAATACTCCCATCCCATCCGATCCCATCCCCATACTCCCATCCCGACTCACCTCTCATTCAGCTGAGGAAACTCCGCCCTCCCATCCCATCCCATCCCCATACTCCCATCCCCTCCCATACCATCCCCATACTCCCATCCCCTCCCATCCCATCCCCATACTCCCATCCCATCCGATCCCATCCCCATACTTCCATCCCGACTCACCTCTCATTCAGCTGCGGAAACTCCGCCCTCCCATCCCATCCCCTCCCCTCCCCTCCGCATACTCCCATCCCATCCGATCCCACCATCCCCATACTCCCATCCCGACTCACCTCTCATTCAGCTGAGGAAACTCCGCCATCCCATCTGCGCGCTCTCGTGCAACCTGATCCCCGTCTCGCTCGCGATCTCCTCCAGCCTGGCGTATCTTATCCCGTGCGGCACTGCGTTTATATCCATTCCTAATCTGTCCCTCACGTCCTTGTTGATGGGCAGTCCCGGGACCTCGGCTTTGATCTTTGCGACGAACATCTTCCCATACTTCCTCTCCATCTCCACCAGAAAGCCTTCGAATTCCCCAACATAGCTCTGACAGACCAATGCCGCAAAGGTCAAAGTGTTGACCGTCTCTCTCATATCCGTCGGGCACTGCTTAAAGACGGCTACATGCATGATCCGACTGGCGAAGACGTTGGCTACTTCTCTCAAGAGCTTAAGTCCCTCGACGAAGGCCTCGTCGACCATCAAAGCTTCTACCTTCATCATCGCCGTCGTGATCTGACCGTTCCTCAGAGCGTCGGCCACCTCCCTCCTCCTGCACTCCATCGCTTTTTGCCGTTGATGCTCGACATGAGGAAGACGAGACATCGCTGTCAGCAAGAGCCGCCGGCAGCGCTCCGGGTGAAATGGCGTCTGCCTCATCCAACTGCTGACACGTGGCAAGCACCGTCTGCCCGACTCCTCCTCCTCCATCGGATTACGCAGCTTGCGCATCCCCGGCGAACAAGTCACCCAAGGCATGGTGACGGGAAAACGTCACCCGTTCTCGCACAAAAAAGCTGTCCAAGAGAGGCAAAAACGTGATGGTAAAAAGGGGGGGGATGGAAACGATAACAGAG